CACTCACAAGTGTTGGTGTGCACTCTTCGCTACTTCCAAGTAATACCAGCGTTATTGCATATCGGTTGCGAATAGCGTAGTAAACGTTGTCAATTTGAGTAGGTTTTACGTCGGTGATTTCCCCGGATGAAATCCATTTCAGTCTTAAGTATTCATCTTCGCTTTCCAAGGAGGATTTGACCAAGTTGGCAATGGCTGGATTAATAGCAAATGACGACATAGTTGAAGTTAAAAATTTTATCTCTCAAGTCAAAGTGTCAACCCTTAATTGTGTTACATTGCACGCAAATCGATCGGGCCTCTTATCGTTAATTTTAGATTGCATTCTTGAGCTAAAAGAAAATTTTAAATAATCTCAGTATTTACTATCTCATGAAGTAATAAAATTTCTCCTTGTCCAAATTAAAATTTCAAATATTTTCTTAATCGCTTTTTTGGAGTCTGATAGAAATGTCCGGTTTCTCGATAATGGTGATATTGATGTATTCAACTGGGCTTCACGCCTCTTATTACCAGTATTGATATGGGGACATATTAGTTATGAATCGTGATCGTGTGACATTATATGATATATTAGTTATTGGGCTATAAAGTGTTGAGATGTGAGAACATGTAAAAAAGGAAATCAATCAACATTTTCTAGACTTAATGTTATTCCTAATCTTCGTATGATGGAAGATTTAAGTTTGTTGTTGCCAAGTCAGAAATCTTTTCTTTGTGCTTGAAGAGCGTAATTGGTTGGCTTGGGAATGTATATACTAATACAGTTTGAACAAGTAAATATAAAAGAAACCAACAAATCTTCACATTGACAAGCTTAATAAATATTAACTAATAAATAAAAACCGCTTTATCGAACATTTTTTGAGTTTGCGCGTTCCAGATAATAAAACGGATTGTTACCCGATATAACGGATTTGGTTATTAGTTATCCAATGTGTCCCAAATGACTGCGTCACTCATTCCTGATGACGTCACAGAATCACAGTTTTCTCGGAGCACCACATCCCAATCCGAGGAAATTAATATTAGAAACGCTCAGTTTATCCCAATCCCAATACCACCTATTCCCTTATACGCTCAATCTCTTATTGCCTCACTCTCACGTTGCAACATCACAGCTTGTGAATAAAAACTCGCAGTCTAGATTTAGAAGACAGAAATAACAAGATGTCCGAACAGCAAGCAAACAACAGCTCTAATACCTCTCAGGCGGCAGACGACAAAAAAGAGGGCGCTGAGCATATTAACTTAAAAGTAGTTGGGCAAGTAAGTTGGGAGATATGATTATAACAAAGGAGAATGAGGAGAGTTGGTGGGAATAGAGAGATATACTGTGCTGTGCACCATGAACGCTAAGGAGATTGTGCGCGTCCGAGAAGAACGTGGAAGAAAAGTCTATTCGACGCGTTGTTTAGTGTTGGATGGAAGACGTTGGTAGAGTTGTGATAGCGTATCGTTCTATTAAAACGCGTTCGCGTTTGCATACCTTCCAGGATAACTTTAAATGTCCATAGGTTCACTATATAACAGAACGTCAATATCTTACGTATTCTTATCTTGTCCCTTTTGTCCTTAATTGTGATAACCAGGACCATAACGAAGTTTTCTTTAAAATCAAGCGCACAACACAGCTGAAGAAACTAATGGAAGCTTATTGTGAGAGACAAGGGAAGGCTATGGCCTCTGTACGTTTCCTGTATGACGGAGAGCGTATACAAGCACATCATACACCTGCTGAGGTATGTCATGTGAATTGTTAGATAGTCAAACGATATTGTAATGTTTGGAAAGATGAACGAATGATGGTGGGTTTTGACATACAGGCAGATGGACAGCGGGATGGAACTAATGTGAGATTACTGAAATGTAAACACTCCTTTCTCAATTATTCGAATATATAGCTTGACATGGAAGATGGCGATGCCATTGACGTTATGGTTGAACAATTAGGTAGGAAAAAGATGTCACATTATACGTAACCACTAGACAAGAGATGGTCCATGTCCATTGGCATCCTCTAGCTCTCGTCTATAGACAGAACTATCTTCTCGATCACTCATTACTTACTTACTCTTTCATCCATATAAACAGGTGGCGCAGTCTCATTTTAACAATCTTCAGTTAATAAACCTTATGCAAGAGACCCAGTTTTCAAAGTTAGTTCTCAATGTGTGAGATGGAGTCGTTATAGCGTTGTTATTGTTTGAATAATAAATACAGTAAGATATTTTGACTATATGTGTTTTGGAGTGCTGTGATGTGGAGAAGGGGCTGAGACACGCATTAGGGGATATCAATATACATTATGTATTTGAATTCATTGAATTCATCCGATTTAATTATCGGATTGTCTGAAAGAGTAACCAAGAGGGTGTATTTTGTGACAGTTTAAACTAACACCTGACACTATAAATGCTCAATATCATACATCTTTCTTAATCTATCCTGAGGTCTGCTGTTTTATGAACTTTGTCAATTGCTTACTGCACAATTCTAACGGCGTCTTATTATCCGCATTTTTCCGTTCAAGATCGCCACCCTTCTCTATCAAGAGTATGGCAGTATCACCATGTCCCTCTTCGCAGGCAAGATGGCTACAAGACCGAGTCGACGAGAAAATAAGCTTGAGAACGAAAATGCACAAAATCAAGATAATGGCAGCATACTCACAGGGGGGTGTTGAGAACCTTGTCGGCTGCATTGGACTTGGCTCCATTATCTAAAAGTAGGCGGGCGAATACCGTATAACCGAGGACTGAGCATCGATGACTGTTAAAGGTTAGAGGGAGTAAGTCTATAATTCGATATGCAAAGCCCGTACTTTAAACTGGGGAAAATGGTGTCACAAGACGACAACTATCATGATAATGGCACAGATCTTTAAATCTTACAGAGGAGTTTGCTTGTAGCGGTCTTGCGCGTGTACGTTTGCACCTTTCTCTATCAACTCTCTACCGATCTATAAATAGTCGGAATGCCGGTATCAAAGTTTAATACATCTTTGCTAGTTGTCTCTGCAGCAGACCGCAGTTACCTCTATCCTGTTTTTTGATGCAGCATAGTGCCTATACAAACAATCGATAATATCAATCAAGATCAGGTCTACACAATCGATATTCCAAACGAATTTACTCACAGTGGTGTCATGCCTAATTCATTTTGTACATTTATCGTGGCGCCTGATATAATCAGCCTCTTTGCTATCTCAAAATTTCCCGTGGATGCTATACGTGCAGAAGGAAAGGTAAGGAGATTGGACTGGACACCATAGTCAAATGACCAAAGGATAGACGAAAAGTACCCGCGATATGTAATGGTGTCCAGCCAGCCTCGTCGGTGTCATTGACATTTGCTTCATGTTGTATTAAATACTCGGCAATATCAAAATGTCCGCCTGATACTGAATTAAAGAAATGCGAGCAATGATTGCAGAACAGTGTTGATTGCATGATAACATGAGATGATTAATGGCTTTCAATTATCTGGCCCACCTGCCCAATGCAATGGAGTACGTTCGTCCTATTCGAATTAGATTTAGCGAATAGAGATCAAATACATATTTCGCTCAACGTCCATCATAAATTAGCACACCTCATCCTTTGATCCGACAGCTTTGGGTTCCACTTCAATAACGCTCTTAACGTTGTCGAACTTTCCTTCCAATGCAGCAGTATGAATGTTCACTCTCTCTGTCATGTCGAGTATCACTAGAGTAATGACGGAATAATGGAGTCCACGTACTCAAATTTATGAAAACAGAAACCGGTTATTATTGGTCAAATTTGAATGTTTATTGATCAAATTAGGAATAAGACATGACTGCAAGCGTTTCGCACTACATATTTTGGGATTTATACTATCGACAGCACAGCATAAGAAAGCCACGCTAAAAATTGGGATCGTGACCATGATGCCAAAGGTGGATAATCAAGTGTTCAGACGTGTCAGTTGTTTGCTGAGGAGCACGCATGTATTGGTGTGCGCGTAATTATCAAACAAAAAGTTGGCTAATTTATAATTGACTATTGCATTTAAACGTAGAATTGGTGCACAAAAAATCGTATCATTATTTTCTTATTGCAAAGGGTTAAAAATACGCTTTTTCTTATATTTGTAATTATTGGAGTTGTAGCTAATTCAGTTTTTAGGAGTTTGATTAGTTTGATTACGAACTTGGTAGACATCAAAATCAAACACTATATACTGTATATGTACATATATGAGAAAAGCCGTCTTTCTTTTTGATTGATGTTCGCAGTCACAAATCAATTGCAGAAGTGTTTGTTGGTTGACCAAGCATACTAGTCTCTATTATAAAAATTTACTCTTTCTGTTCCCAACATTATTTTACTGTCTAGACTACGCGCTAATTACAATTATGAAATAATCGGCTGCTTAAATAAATAAATTAAAACAACCTCATGTGTAAAACTGAACCATGCCCACATTAAATATCAACTGTAACGAAACAGACCATCCTCCGAAATTAAACCGCCCAATCCCTAAATCTAACACGGTCATCGTCGTATCTAATGTTTCTAATCAACATAAGTCTCATCATCGTACGCATCATCTCTCAAAACGCTATCGTCCTTGGGCAACGCGAGACAAGAACACACTGACTCCAAAAACCAAGGTTCCTCAGTGATTTTCTTCATGACGGCTTCGGCGGCTGTCTTACGAGCCGTACGAATGTTGTTGGCAAATGTATTAGCAACTGGCGTATCGTGAATGAAGATCGTACACGCTGCCTCAATGCCAGTCTCCGTTGTGTGGTTTCTGGGTAATTTGTCGAGCAAGGAAGGAAAAAAATAAGAGATTTTATTATTAGATATAAATAAACGGAGAACGTATGGTTATAGGTCAAATAACGGATAAACAGCAAACGAATTCCCGCTTACCTTAACAATACCATGCTGCATCCTTGCTTGTGCAAATATTCCGTAAGTTCCTTCACCGGATGTACTTTCAGTGTCTCAGGAGTAACGTGTTTCATCAATACTGGTTTGATGCACTTATCAAACATCTTTTGTGGTGCAGTAATATCAAATTCTGCATCCACAAGCACTGCTCCTAACATACTCTCTATAACGTCACTCAATACTTTAGGCACATCAATGTCACTCCAATATTCCCCTACAGCAGTACCCTCTTCCCTCATTTTGTCAACAGCATCTACAAACTCGGTAATCGCAGACATTAGTTTAGGGGAGAAGTGAATAATATGTTTATGAAGATCCAGTATTTCACATATAGCGCCCAATATATGATTGTTAACCGAGGCATCTTTGAGATCAGTAATAAGACCAGGAGCACCTTCCGGGTAGTGTTCAAAAAGATATTTTACTGTCAAAAAGTCCAGTATGGCATCGCCAAGGAATTCCAATCGTTGGTAGCACGACGTCTGAGAATTGGGCAGACTCGCATGAGTCAGGGCCTCAGCAACAAGTATCTTGTTCTTGAACGTATGACCACAAATCTGTTCTATTTTTGCGATATCCAAATTGTGTAATTTGCCTTCTTCCACCCTCGGTGGATTTCTGTTATTCTCGTGAAATTGCTTCCAATCGGTTATTTCGCCAAATTGAATGGCCAACGCAATCGCTGTCTTCAATGCCAATTCAGTCGTGCTGCTTAGGTACGATGCTCCGAGTAATGCCTCCACCACATCTGCTATTTGCTTGTCTGCTAACTCTTGTACTCTTTCCAGAGCAAGCAATTCAGGAGTATCGTAATCTGTTTTCATTGCTATTGGACGCCAGGATCGACGATTGAATGGTTGAGATTTGATGTATTCGTATAAGCGAAGTCTCTTGGCAGCGCGATAAAGATTTTTATTGCATATAATGCGAATACGCTGACAGTGAAGTTGTCCCTCGTGTTTCTCAGGAAAGTTGACGTAGAGGTGAACTGTAGTTATAAATTTCAAAAATGCGTCACCTAATGTTTCTAACCTTTCATAATTCATTTCCATATTGGCAGATGGTGTCGTTAAAGCTTCAAGAGCTTGAAGATCATCAACGTACAAGGTGAGTCGATCGCGTAGTTCTTGAACCAATAGCAATGAATCGAGTCTGACAAGAATAGTCGGAATCATCATAGCAGAACGGAAGACGGATCCCTTGATCGTGTACTCGTTACTAAATTCTGGTATGAGAAAAGCAGCTGTTCGTCCTTTCACTATCGGGATTGCCCCAGGTATTGGTTGCAAAAAATTCATAACTCGAGATATCTTTCGTACTTGCAACATGGGCTGGTCGGGATGTTTCAGCTCCAGACCAAAACGCGCCTTGTAGTATGCAGCGAAATTCTCATGGCCAAGTTCTCTGGTAAACCTGCTCTCGGGAACAGGACTCAGTGGTGTAAGATCGTATCTAATGTCATCGACAAAATATCTACGACTATCCTCAGAATGGTCGATAATCACAGCATCCCTTAAACCCTCGATATTATTGAGATCTATTGGACGCTGACTACACCCAATGGCTTCCTTAACACCATCCCAATCAATATGATCAAGCGTGTTCTCGTCGACTTTGACATTTTTTATGAGAGGTACGAATAAATATACACACTCGTCCAAGTTAGCCACGTACTTCTTATTAAAGATTGAAGTAAATAGCCGAATAGTAAAGTCGAACGCCAGTTCTAGTTTTTCTCTACCCAACTTGATAGGCTTCGAGTATGGAATAACTTTTAAAAACTTGTCAACGCCATGGAAGAAAACCTTAATGTCGGGCACACGAGGAAATTCTTTTCGTGTAAACATACACATAATACGATAGGACTGTCCGTCATACGTCTCGTTTTCAATATCGAGTCTAAATAATGTGCCATACAACTCATCCGGCATCGGCCCCAATTCTTCTGTATCATCGGCAGGAGTTGTCTCTTCTTCCGTCTCCTCATTAATCACAGGCTTTTCCTTTTTGGCCCCCCAAAAATCAGGGATTTTTATATTATACTCCCGTCTAGTCTTGCGTGCTCCTTCTGTAAGACCATCTTTAGCCATCTCATGATCCTCTTCAATCCACTCAACATCCGGCAGCAAATGATCATTCAGTCCCTTTTTCTCATACAGTTCTATACAAGTCTTAAACGCAGCAGACTTTTTCGCCAACCCTCGGCTCCTCATCGGTTCACCTACCACTGTTCTAATTGGCGCATTATTGGGTAACGTTATCGTACAGAGAAAATTCCCACTCACCGATTCGATATCAAATTCTGGCACCAAGTTACAATAAGCATCTTTTGGTAATTTCGAACAATAATAATATACCAATGACACGGCTGATTCGTAACTTAATAAAGCACCAGTCGAAGGAACAATATGGTATCGTTCGACCACTGGACCTTCCTCGTCGCTATCGTCACTATCTGAATCACCCTCGTCTGCCAAAAACAATCGACGGTCCTCAGGAAGTGTAGCACACCATTCACGCATCTTTTGATCTGCCTCACAAATTTCCCTAAGAATAGATTGCTCCCTGGAATTTCCGTTTTCAAGCATGACAATGTATTTGGAGTTCTTTTTTCTCGCTCTACCGCGAGATTGGATATAAGCACGAAGGGTGTTGAAAAAGTCGAAACTATTTGATTAAATAGAGACAAATTGCTTGTGTTAAATTAATGCAATTTTACAACTGCGGTTGTCAGAGACTCACTCTTTTATCACTCCAACTCGCGTTGAGAGGCTTACCGAATGACGACATTACATGGTTGAATGTCCAAACCTTCTTCGGCTACATTTGTTGCGATAAGCAGATTAATCTCACCCGAGCGGAAGGCATTTATAACCCTGTTCTGCTGCCGGAATCGCATCTGTACATCCCCATCAACGGCCATTCCGTGTCCAACCAATATGGACGATTTAAGAAATTTGAGTGATTCGATTTCTTTTATTAAAAAGTTCAGCACTACTGCTGTATCCCTACGCTCGACAAATACGATTCCACAAAACTCCTCAGATACTTCGACAAAACACTCCAAAATCTCAATAAGTCGTAACACTTTGGGGGACAATAAGCGTTTGTCAAGTGTCGGCTTCTCGAGTTTATATTCATCAATGTAAGTGAGCGCTCGGTAAACCAACTTTTTCTCATCATCCAGCAGATCAATCTTGTATACTGACGGATCGAGCTTGCCGCCTTGTTTTTCTATAGAATCATCGAAAAAATGCTTCCATATGCGATCAGAACACCATGGTCCGAGCGATTCGAGACAAAATTTAGCGCTGCAAATACATTTCTGGAGTTTTTCGGAAGTCGAGCAATCCTTTTGTATTGACGCAAAGAGCGAGGTGTCTCCATAAAGGGGAGCTCTATCGTAGTAAACGGCAATTTCTTCGGGACGGTTCACAAATTGGCGGAGTTCGTCTGTATCAGATGCTGTGAAAATTCTGGCTGATAAACTACGCTCTAATTGACTGTAAAAGTTTAGAAATCGGATTAAAATCCATTACTGAAGCAAGAGCACGCGCCGAGCAAAGACGGAGAAATAGAAGCAAACAAAATACCTTGCCGATATCATTTTACGCGTGTTTACAGGTGATGCTGTCATGCCAAAGATTTTTGGGCGTTGTTCGATTGAACATCGATCATAAAATTCCATCATAATAAGATTGTACGGGTGGCGTTTTGACGTATGATGGCATTCATCAAAAACGATGAGATTGACCTGAAATAATGATGACAGGTAATGTCGTGTCGGTAAAAGTAATAAAGTTTTATAAATCCATTTTTCCATCGATATACCTGAGACATTGAGATAAAGCCGTGTCGAAGAATATTCAAAAATATCTGCGCAGTCATCACGGCTACTTCAAACTCTTCAAAATTTTGCTTCCATATCTTCTCCGTCCACAGATCAACGCCCATTTCACCGCAAAAGTGTTTAACCTTCACGTCGCAATTTGCTTTTATGACAGCAGCTTGTTGAAATACAAGAGGGACTAAATTCACTAAAAAAAAGGAGAGTTTTGTCTAGATATGAGAAGGAAGAGGCGTGAAAGACGTGACGAAAGGTTAGTAGTTTCTTTATAGGGAAATATTCAATTTTGTTCCAACATCAGTACCTCACGCCTAGTCATTCGCAATCTTCTCTCCTCGGCAACTGTGTCTTTAATAAGTAATACTGCAATAAATGTTTTTCCACTGCCAGTATCCAACACTGCTATGACATTATCCGTCTTGGCTCTTTCATATAACTCGAGTTGATACTTTCTAGGTGTAAGTTGGGCGGCTATCTCATCAACAGTCGAAACTTCGTCGAATTCGTGAGAGTCTTTAGGCGTGTCGTTAGATAAGCCATTGGTCGTGTTTGTAGTTAAGCCGTTAGTAGTGTTTGTATATAAACCGTTAGTCGTCATTTGTGTTATGAGAACGAGTGTAAATAGATCAATGGGTAATCCTGCGGGGACCAGATATAAAATAATCATTGTCCATTGTCTATTAAATTTAGACATGTGAAACGTCACCAATCCGACAATGTATAAATGCCTCGAAGAAATTTTGCCCTACTACTAAAACATGAACCCTTATCGTCTTTATGCGGATAATGACGACACAGAGAGCAATTATGAAGCAGAAATATCGCAAACGTGGAAGGACCCTCCAAGGTCGACAAATCGAAGGACTCAGTCGAGTAATAACATAATAGAGCCACGGCCAGACATATTGTCTACGGGAACTCCACGGAGATCACCCGACGAAATCTGGCTGGTACGTACACATTAGGTTTGCTTGGTTTTTGTGGTATGACGACGAGTTGGAATGGAAAGAGACAGAAAGCGTGGAATTCGAAAAATACAAGACAAGACAAGACAAGACAACCTAAGCCCGAACAGCGTGACATGTGATAGTACGAGGATCATGCGACATCAACGATTAAATCTTACCCGACGCGAACTGATCTATCCACGAGCTATTTATTAATCTGAGATTTCATATTTTTTATTCGCAACACAAATTCAGATTCCTGCCAACGTAACGCCGGAAAAAATCGTGGGAAAGAAGAAGGAGAATTTAGCCAGAATCGCCCAAAGCACGAACACGTCAGTGGCGTACAATCAAGACAATTCAGTAAGTTTTGGCCATATTCCAAAAAGTCAGGCCAATTCAATTAAACCGTGGTTGCGGTATATTGTTTAGAGTTAAGTTTATCAACGCTCGAACAAACGCCATCCACGAGCTTGAACAGTTTAATTTTTCTGTATCGGCAAATACTTCTGCTCCTCCTGGTATAAGCTGAAAGCAGTTAACTACAATCAAGAACATTGCGTTGGTTTTGACTAAAATATTTCTTAGCAAATAGAAATATGGGGTATACGTCGAGACATCGATCAAGTCCTGAGACAGTTGAATCAGATTGCGAATCTTTATTCGGTAAGGCTAAATTTATACACGCAAAGACTTGTAATAGTTTGGTTCATCATATATAACTATATACTACATATTTGTAGGTAGAGGTCAAATCTCCAAGGTCTGCAAAATGGGATAAACCGGAAAGGGCATTAACAGAGAAAGAAAAAAGGAAGCTAGAACGCCGGGCGAAACGTGAAAATATGCACAAAGCGTACGAAGGGTCTCCCAAGGAGGAGAAAACCTTTTACGGATATTTTTTATTACCAAATGATGACATTTCGCATAACGCAGTTTACACGGAATCTCTGTTGAAAGACTTGCGTGCCGATACGAGATGCTTTATAGTTTTTCAATCCAATAATAATGTCAGTTAGAATACTCTATTTTACAGCTATGGTTATGATTTACTGAGTCCTTGACTTGACTTTCTCACTCTTTTTTCCTTTTCTTTTACCTAGCTTATGGAAATCTCGGGTGATTCTTATGCGAGTGTGGAAGAAGCCACGAGACGTATTAAGCAAATATATTTGAAACATCTTGCTGTAAGTGGAGTCAATTATGCGCTATGGATTTTCCTGGTTCACGGTCTATGCTTACTAGTATGCAATAGTGGAGGCGAATCCCGAAGGTCAATCGATCAGACGGCCCGAAAGAGTTGGGAACATGTATGGGGTGGGTTCAACACTTGATCGAGGAACCTACCAGGCCGTATAAAGTAAAATTTGCTAATCTTCCCAAAGGAAGAGATATTCCTTACCTTCCTCGTTCGAGAGACTCTCCTGCTCCCAAAATACTTGAGGCCGTATTCGAAGGGGGTGATATTACGGTCATCAGTAAGGATGGTATTGCGGAAAAGAGCGATCCACGCGCAAGTGATATCGTTGCTATGAAGAAGTAAGTTTATATCTGGTTTAATTGTTAGCGGTTGGTGTGATCCTAACATTTTAATAATTTTTAGGATAAATGAGATGAATATAAAAAAATTTGGAGAAACTTTGCATAAAAGTCTTGGAGCTGTTCATTTGTTCCAAGAGAAAATTAAGATGAGAATCAGGTAGTCTTGAGAATCACGGCGAATCGATTGGCTTTTACAATCTATTATTTACTCTTCGATCTGTCACCCAAAATTAGGTTTGGTCAACTCGTTATTACCGACTATCCAAAGGAACCGTTGTGGTCTATTGATAAATTCAATGATAGAGTCCTGCGTGACTCGCGATTATGTTCAGTACTATCTAATTGGTATTATATAGCTTGATTGTTATCGTTTAGTCAACTTGGTGCGAACTTGTTCATTAACTCTCATATATACGTAGTATTACACGCGATCGGCCTAAACTTGAAACTCTCTTTGAAAGGCTGTCTGAGAAAGATGCGATCACTGGTATGGATAACCAGTGGGATGACTCGCCCTTTACAGAATACAAGATAGTCACACATGGTCGAAACAGTCAATCAAAAAGCGGAGCGCCTGTAACGTATGCCTTTGAAGTAACTTTCAAGCCAGACGCTAGGGAGGCCAAAATCGCGCTATGGAACGCCATGATTGATGACAAGAACGTAATGGAATTAAATATGATATGTCCAGAAAAGTATGTTAATCCAATGTTGTTTCAGCCGTCTTGTTTAGCTATCACATTACTTATTGGATTGACTTGATCTTTTTAATAGCGATTATTCCTGGAAACTACATTTAAAGTGCTCCAAACGTTTGCCAAATTCGATCAACAGTTCACAAGGATCGTTTGTTTATAAACTTCACCTGAGGTAATTTATATCATAGTATAAATATAGCATATCTTATTGCACTATCTCATACTCGATATCTCACACTAGTCCGACGAAGCACCTGATTTATGCCAATACCAACGAATACGTTGTACAATCCGTATGTGAAAAAACAAAATGGAAATTCTGGTGGGAGAGAGAGTATGTTGTTGAAGTAACCAGATACGACTATTGGAATTGTGAAAAAATGAGAGACTATGCACCTGGCATAGAAGTAGTACTTAACACTGACGACAAAGTCACTACGTTTGGTGTAACGGTAAGCTTTTTATGTATTGTTTGAATGAATTTATTATCAGGATTTTCTGACCGACATGTTATTTGACTATTAATTACATCGCAACAGCTTTACAGACAACAGTGGGATGATGATTTTGCGTACAACTGGTCTCTCGAGACCGGCGAGGCGCCCAAGTGGCATCCAGATGACTATATCAATGACGAAAAGTTTGGCGGGGTGAAGGAGTTATTGAATGACATAAGAAAATTTTTGACATTATTGGAATCATCAGTTTCTTCATAGATTAATACGCTTCTTTACGATAAAATTTGATGACTATGACAGAGCCAGAAGCTATGTTGTGAAGTTTATCGCTTTGCTGAATTTTTTATTGAGGAAACTTTACTCGTCCGTCAGCTTAAACTTACCAGTTTATCAATGTGGTCGTTGGATAATAGTAGTAAGACTTACAATAATATAAAGGATTTATATCAAACAAATATGCTGGCACGCTTACAAGTTAAAAACCTAGATATCCTGCGCTTTTCATTTATAGTGACTATTGGGAGAATTGTGAATAAAAATACAGTATTGGTCGTTATTCAGTAGCGATATCGAGAAAGTCATTCAAACACTGCGAAATTAACTAAATGTGGAAATAGAATCGTTCAATGAATGCATTAGTCTTTCGACCGAAATTTATAATAGAATCGGAGCATATCGACCAGATTACATGCTAAAGAAAGACATGAGGGGAGAACACACCTTCTGTTCGATCAGAATATAGTTTTATTAATAGATTCTTGTACTCTGATAAAGTAAATGAATTAATTAATATATAGTGTTGATCATTGGTAAGGTACTCATCATGAGCATGCGCAAAAAGTAGTTTACCGCTTATTCGCCAGAAAAGTAGCTTGGCAAAAACGTATTCATTGTGCGGTTGACTTTTTTAACTTTTTTCCCAATCATTAATGTGAAGCAATAAATTATAAATACGAGATTAATTATTTAATATGTTGTATTGCAAATTGATGATTCAGCTGCGTAGTACAAATGGGTGCGAGATTTTCCCAACGAACTTGTAACTTTTTAAACGCAATATGTAATAAATATAGATTTGAAAATCTCACAAACAGTTAGAACAAAGCACATGATCACCCACATACGCATGTTACTCTCTCCCTCAACTAGTTACGAAAGGGCCAGATTGGAGAAGTCCGAATCGCACAGAGAATGTTTTTATTACCGACATTCATTGTATATAACAAAGACAGTACACAAGCGCCGATCCGTATCCCAAAATGCACCCCCTGTAATAGAAGCGTTTTCATTTGATTGGTCATGCGATTATAGAGTTTAATATGGTACCCCTGTCATTCCCTATTGTTTTTACAAGATTGGTAAAATTAAGAATCTCAAAGAATAATGCCTTGTGAGAATGTTAAGGATCTTTCCAGAAACATCATGAGAACATGTTCTATGCAAAATCCCTCTGCAGTGTAATGTAACCGACTCTTCTTTGTCATTTAAGCAATGCCTGAAAAATCCAACGATTTCTATAATTAGTCGCGAACTGGTTTGTCACTCGAACATATTACGCGTATGATTTTTTTTTCTTACAAAACTCATCGATCCCTGATGCTACAGCCACCTTTGCTTTTTCCCGGATAAGAAGTTGCCTCGGTTCAAATCACCAATCATTGCCAATATTTTCCTTGTGGTACTGCGCAATCTTGCCCTTTAGTCAGCAAGCGATAAATAACTCGAAAATAAATGATGCACAAACAATAATGGTAAGCGTTGTGTCTAAATTGCTTGCTTTTTATAACAAAGCGGAAATCCCTAAATGTATTTGTAACGCAAAAACGCCGTGTGAGTTTATGTTACACAATAAAATTGATATTATGTAAGTCAATTGAGTACATGCCCATAATAACGTTTCAGCTCAACAACAAACATCGAATGTACCCAGACAGAATTTCCATTCAGAAATGAACCTGACATCTTTGCGATTATTATAAGAAGGCATTACACCGGTCTCTTCCCAAGCATCATCATATTATACGTTTGTTCCGCTTTTACAAGACACATCAATACACATGGCACAAAATCAACCATTGGAGATTCTCCTTGACGCCAATTTAGCCGGCCTTTTGGATCTCTTGCAAGTACATGTCGATGAGCCGAAATCCCCCGGGGTCCGCTTTGTGGAAAGCGTGAAAATCAGCGAATTCATTGCAAAGTCTTACAAGGGTGGAATATTGCCTCATAACAAAGAGACACAGCGCATGTTGCTGTTGGAGGAGAAAAAAAGTTTATTACCCACGCTTGCAACCCCAGAGGCCGTTGATCAACTTATCAGCAGATTGGGCTACATTACCGTCAACGAACCGCAAACTTACGAGACAGGAACCCTGATCCAACTGGTGTCAAGGTTGCTGGCATATTCCCTCCAATTTCGACGATGTCTCTCCTCTGTACCCGAAGACCGTCTCACCTCGGCCATCTCTGCCGTATCCGATTACAAAGGCGCTGTATTAGATCTTTCGAATCCTTTCACAACGGTGCCGTGGAGAGTTTTGAATGATTTCTTGACGAACGCTCAAACGACATTGAAGTTGCCTTTCAATCCGTACGTAAAAATTGATATCGTACTAGAGTACATGTACGAAAACAACATTTCCACTTAAACATATATCCATTATTACTATTACAGGTACACCAACGCGACCGATGACATAAAGGCGTAAGTTCAATTCTTCCAATTATCTCATGGTCTATAACCAGTTTTCATTTATTCGCCATTATCCCATTTGTAGAATCATTATGGGTGCTTCGCCTTTTCTGGTATCCGGCGGCTCGATTCAGCCTCTGGACACCGAAGTCAGCTTTATCGAAAATCTTTATCGTCAAACGGCGGGGCAATACAAAACTTTTGACAAAGCCAGTCATACTGACGGGACGTTTTTGCAATTTGGGTTTAAAGAATACGTGCAGAATAGAATCCCTATGAAGCGGGTCAGCAATGGTGCATACGTTTGTTATGTGGATGCCTTGCACAAGACATATTACTACACGACCCTCACCCTAGATCCATTCCGCTTCAAGGTGTTGAAGAATCTTCTCATATATGAGATAGTCTCTGGAAAGGCAGCTTATATTCATAGTGCTATACATTATTACCTAAGTATGTGCACGTGTGAAGAGGATTTCAAATTGATGATCGAATATGGTGTTATTCAATGGGGATTCCCAATGAAAGGATATGACGAGTTTCGTGAAATGATGAAAGAGTTACTGGATACTATGTATTGCTGGAAATTCGTAAATACTTGGACGTGGCATGCTGAATTGGTCAAAATTGCAAGAAGAAAAGCCCTTCTGGGAGACACAAGCAGTTGGGCTGACTTTGCGGCAACTTGCTACTCTGGTGGTTTACTAAGATTAGACGTGAGTGGTTCTTTGTACAAGAGCCTTGCCTGAATCGAGTAACCAGTTTAAGAACAGCCCGCACAGATTGCCGAGTGAAGGCTTGAAACCATAATACATTGTTAAGAGAAACCCAGCAATCTGTTCCATTTTTATATTTATTACAATGTTTTCCATTGATTAATTTGTACACTTTACGAAATTTCTTTTCTTCTGCATCTGTAATTAACTGTTTCTAGCAGCATTTTATAAATTATTTTGCATATTATATTCAGATTAAGAAACCAATTTTATTTCAAATAAAATGGGGTATCTTCATATTTGATTATTTACATTATCAATCAAATCATATTACGGAAGACTCAATGATGCAATCAGTTACAGTATTTTGTTATAGCTCTTCTTTATTATTGGAGTCTACTGATGTTGTGACTTTGATTGACAATGTAATGTAAATAGTTGATGAATTGTCGTTTCCCGCGACTAAAGAATGATTTTAGACTTGTCAATTGACTCTGTCCATTGGAAACGTAATCCTTTTGCTCTTGACAATTAGCTATGCCTGGTAGTTAAAGTCATCGATGCCAACTCGGGTTTAGCAACAATAAATCTTATATCAGCGCAGCGGATGTTTTCTCAGGTGAGAATACAATAATCTCTGAGAGACGTATAGAGAGAAAAGTAAACACTTTAAATCAAACTGTGTTACAGCAGGGGAGTGCGAGCAGACTTTTTTACACCAGAGTGGTGTTTTAAGATTTTACCTTTCTTTATATCTGTCGTCATTTAAAGTCTTTCTCTACATTCACTGTTATACATCCTCGGTGTTCTATGGTCAACGATTTGCTGTTTCTCCGCGTCTAAATCTTTTACGAGCCATAATCGTTTTATATATCCTTATTATTATGGATTTGAATAGGCGATCAAATGTAAAATCGTTACTACCATTTATAATTCCCAACTATTTAATTTTCGTATATCTTCGTAATTTCGAAGACGTGATAGCAGCGATTATGAATAGTAACTGTGTTTGGCAGATCTTTGATATTCACCTTTCACTTTCCCAGCTACGCGGCAAAAGCACACGTTAGTGACAATTATTTACCGATGAGCAACTCTTCAGAACGTTGTACCAGCGTGTCGGTTGTGAACTACGACAATGATAGGAAACAATTACTACACATCAAACCGTTACCTGCATATAACATGTGAAATCGAACGATATGCTATTACGGTACTATCAGAGTAAACGCTATTATTATTGTTGGACGACTAATTGTCCGTAAAGGAATATTCAATAACTACGCCCATTGTGACAGTGGAATCATATAAATAAACTTTGTTAACTTTTTTTTTATTAGAAATCACTTTACGTACATATTAATAACAATTATATAAATACAACAATCCATTACAACCTTTATATCACTGCTATTGTATTATTCTAAGGAAGGCGGCGATCCCCCAGTTATACTTTTCCAATTCTTGTTAACAAACAGATTCTTTGATTTCAAGTTCTTCACCATCCAATTTCCAGCCAATATTCCACCAAACATGGGAAGCAACGCCACCCCACCATTATTACCAAGAGTAAGAAGCATCATAGGCCCCCCTGGTTTGTACTCGATTAATTTCTTCTCGTTGATCAATGCGATTATGTTTCTAGCAACTACATCGGCTTGAAGGCCAGCTCTGAACGCCATTTTCGTCTCTTTCACATTAACAACGTCTCCCAAGGCAAAAATATGTTTGTATCCTTCATGTTCGAGTTGCAGCGTAGGAAGTACTTTGACCAACCCAGTATCAGGTTCTATTAGTTGAGGGCTTAGTGTACTAACTAACCCAGAATTGACGTGATTTCCTGTGGCTACTAATTGAACATCCGACTCGATTTTAGTGCCTTTGTCCGTTACAAGGGTAACTTTTTTGTCTCCATTGCCAATGTCAGAGGCTGAAAATTGTACGCGTTCGTTTAGAATGATATTTACGCCTAGGGCTCTTAGACGTGCGGTAACTTGATCTCGGAACTTGTTTGGAAAGTCATCATTGAGAAGTAATTCACGGGGATGAACGACGGTTACTTTTTTATCTTCGTACGTAGTTTTTATTTCAGCAGCAAGCTCTGTTTATAAAAATAATTATTTAGTCAAATGTTGGAAATTTTGTGGCTAATCAACATGCTCGAGCTGATTCATACCGATTCCAACGGGGCCTCCTCCGATAATTAACACCTTGTTTGCATTCTTCACTGCATTCCGGTAAATAGCAATTTCTTTTACTATATCTTTCTTGTTTCTTCCGTCGACCTTGGCAGGTTTAGCGTTATCGCTTCCGGTAGCAATTATAGCATACTCGAATGGGACTTTATCTCCAAATTCATCGACAACCTTGTCTAATGTTACTTCATTGTCACTCAGTCGAACTGCAGCTGCATGGATAACCTTTCCGTCGTGCTTAAAGAGATTGTCATAGGGGATGAGTAGCTGAGATTCGAAATTGTTTACTGCGACCGTTCGTGGAGCCCCGATTGCATGCCAGTAGTGAGTTTTCCGCTCGATTAAGATAATCCGATGTGTATTGTGTAACGCAGCTTCAAGTTTTTGGGCAGCAGCTACGCCTCCATATCCACCACCGATGATTACGATATTCGACTTGGACATGTTTAAATGCTGAAGGTTATACTGTAAGTGATTATTAGAATTATAAGACACTGATTTCTGTTTCTGAGAATTTTGCGAGCGCCAACGCTCCTGTTTATATAGGCAATTCCTGTGGTCCAAGCATTATAAATCGAGGTCGGCTGGATTTGTCATCTCGTAAAAGAACCATCCGGAATGTCTAATCGATGCAGTCAAGATCGGAAATGTATTATATAAGTAATTCCAAACGGGGTTAGGTGGTTCCGTACAAGTTGATTACTCAGATTTTCGGGTCGGAGGTTTATTCAACCGAAGAGGAAACACTGCGTGACACGAATTTATTGCCATTGTTATTGCTATGTTACGCAATTTACGGAGAATCTTTGCTGCCGTTATCTTTACGTTGGCATCGTTTATGACTTTAATTTCCGTTGACAAAGCTTGTTCCTCTATTTTTGCTCTGCAACATAGTTATACAATAATATACTCTAAAAATTTCCTCGTTGCTTGTCAAAATGTATGACAAACGTCATACCTCTGTTATTTCAGGTAGAAAAATAACGTGACAGGGTTTTTGACGTTATCATATTTTTCATTAGTCGGGATTTGAAATCTCGATTAAGATAGAAAGATGTGGGGACTTTTGATATGAGATGACACAATTGAAAGTGTCAAATGCAAGCGTGCTGTGTTACATATTAATAGTCTGATCTGCACAGGTGTATAAAGCGTACCCTAGTTGTTTGATTGGTACTCGTGAATTAATCGGCTTATTTTAGCCGTTATCAGAAGCGTAGTATTTTGGTGATCACGGCATAACAAAAACAGTGCTTATGCAAAAGCATCATAACATTAAAATGATATCATTATGACTAGATTGGGGTATTTGTTAACAACGAGTTTAGATAAATCTGTGAAATACGTCGTTAAGCTATTATAATAACAATTGTTGCCATTCGTAACGTAAACTGAGCCAATTCGAACGCTAAAAGTGATTCTACGATTCAGAACACATTGTTGATTCGAACATTCGACTAGCCACCCGGCTATTAAGCTTATTTCTTTTGCAAAGCGTTTGCGTTGCATGATCAAGTTGCGCGCATTTCGACATTAAGAAATGTGTTAATGTTTACCAATGATACGTACTCTATTACTATTACTTTCCACATGACGCGTTATTTGTTTCTCAAGATATCGCTTGCGCCACCGCGAACTCTTGATAAATAAACCACGGTAAATGCAGTAGCCAATCTGATTGGGAAGAAGGGTAAATTCCTGAGCTTACGTAGGTATTAAAATAAGTAGAGCAAACTTACAGATATTGAGAATGGGAGATGAAGGTCTTGTAATTAATGATATAAAAAATCACGCTGACAAGAAAGGACATGACCTCATATCTAATATTAATGCTCCCTATGTGAGTATATTTAACTGAGCCAATTTTCAATGCCTACTACATTTAAGAAACAGTCACCAATATAATGCTATTTATTAAAGTATATCATATAAAATTAACATCCTTCCCCATATAACCACTCACTTGGCAGCCACGCCATTTCATTTTCTCTTGCAGATGGACCTATGTCTTTTGCTTGACGAAAACATAAAGCCCTCTCCAGCAAAAAAAAAAGACGATTGACTTTACCGAACGTAGATCCATAATGCGGTTACGAACAAGCCGGGCGAAAAAGCTAATCGACAAAGTTGACGACATTGAAGAATTTCGCCGAACGGAATGAATAGCGGGAAAAACGATACTCGCTCAACTGATAAACAGCTGCTTGGAACTAGATTGACGAAATTAAATCGTGCTGAGGGGTTCCTCCAGAGACTTTTTCTTGAGCCGAAACTAAAAAACTTCACTCATTCAAATACGCCAATAAATAGTTAAAAGTGTTTAATTTGTCTCGATTCCTATTGTCGATTGTGCTTGCAACTCTAACATTCTTACACTAGAGTCTAAGTCATGATTAGTTTGTAATCAGCGAAACGATTACTTTTACTTCCACAGGCATTCCCATATCACTCGCCCGCACTACCGAAATAACTATCAATTCTCATATCTGCCGTTGTCTTCACGCCTCCAAAATCTTTACCCTTTCCTAACGGTTCGGCATATATAACCAAGCTCATACGAAAGACATTATATCCTGTATAAGTGACGCTGAGAATGGGTTTTACATCTTCTTCGTCTGTGATATGATCTTCCGAGACGTCTGGGGGAATGAACGATTTCTCCTAGAAACGAGCAAAAGAAGAAAAAAAGAGCCTCTTTTTAAAGATGTGCAGCACACGTTATCCGATCCCAACCATCAGAAGAACGAACCGATACCTTTTCTAGAACAGAATGTCTTACTTCCGTCGGTTTAAGATAATAAGCAAATTGACAGTTTGCTGTGTGGCGGAGAGGGGGGGAAAGAGTCATCAGATACATTTTAAGCAAACGCCAGCGTCTCCAATAACTAACCACAACGGTAAACATCGGCGACTTGTTTTTCTTCTTTGCCTCTTTTTTTATCTCTTGCAAATTTCAACGGTAAAACCTTTCGTATCGATGCGATTATTTCCTGCAAACAAAAGTTGGCGTCGAGGGTCACGTAAAGCTTGTGAAAGAGGTGAAAAAACAATTACAGTGAAAGTTATGATCAAAGATCGTGTACCTTGTAGATTGTGTCATTGAACCACGAGAGGTTTTCTTCCTTCACATGTATGGATACAAGCATAACTTGTTTGTCAGAAATTTTGATATACCTCTCATTGCATGTTGTGAATTGGGAAGTCGGTAACGAAGATGTAGTCATGTTTAGACGATCGAACAACAAAGTTGTACATGTTTCGTTTGGTCAGTGACATTTGGATCTGAGTAAAATCTCGACCAATACATCAGTTTGCTCTCTTGTATTTGATAGATGTTCGACCATCATGTGAGGTTGTCCGCATTGGTCGTCCAATTTTACAAGTTGATAGATACTCTAATATCCCAGCCTATCTCAGCCACATCTCAATACTTAAATGTTCGTATTATCACGTGATAAAGTTTGGGCAAAGTTTATAATAATCACGCCTTTAGAATGTTGGGCTCAGATACGCAAGAAGTTTAACATGTTTACGAATTATACGAGATTGTTAATACCAACTGGTGAGTACCTTTAGACGACGTAGCTTTTACGACAATTAGTTCTTTGCTTGCTTCACATAACTTATCAAGTATTATATTAGATTCTTCCATCTATCATCCCGCTTCATTTGGCAAGGCATTTCCTCAGCAAAAGAGAGTGCACGTATCGTTAGCAAGAACAATAACTACGACATCTGCACCACAACAACACGCTTCATTTGATGTTGCCAAGCTCCATCCAGTATTCTGCGAATACTCTGACGAAACTCGGAACCCTGTACAAAAAGTAGAGAAATCCAAACTGTAGAAAGATTGCCGATGAGTAAAATGTTCATCATCGAAAAGTCGTACTTTGGGATTCAAACTGTGGAGTGGAAGTTGCGGCCGAACTCGTAATTACCTGGTGGAAGAACATTTTAATGCGAAAGCAATTATATGTTGAATAATGGTAATCAATAATTACTCAATACTATGAACGCTTAGAATTATTTGATGAATAACTATCTAATATCTTGACTCTTGTTCATGTTTAAACGCAAAGAAGCCAAGGCATGTCATACCCCCCCCCCCCCCTCCCCAGCTTCAGCTTAGACGTAATGATTTCCATCTACTGTGATGGATTAATGTTTTTTTACATTCACAACTCAAAACGATTGGATAATAAATTTGATTTATATTTCAAAACTTGAATCACCATTAGAGGAAAAGACAATGTCAGATCTCACCACCCAATTTGTGTGAGAAAGATAGTGGCAGGCGGAAGCGTTCATATGTCTCGCGTTAATTAGCCAACAATATTACTCGATCAATTCTGGTTGCTGCTACATCTTAAGGTTAACGACCGAACCGTCTTATTCAATTATTAGACATTCACTTTGTGAGACTTTCAGTCAGTGGAGGAATTTTGATTCGTTTTTATGTTTAAGTACAATGGATAGGTGGATTGCCTGCCTGAGTGACCCCGGTTACGCGATTATTACAACAAAGTCAATAGAGGATGGTTATTGTTAAAAGTTATAATGTTAACGTGTGAATTTTATATCAAAAGTAACTATCTATCTTTGCGTATCATGAAAAGGTATCTTACGAAATGACGTCAGTACAATATTACGGAAAGTGCTCAACAATAATACTAACGAACAGGGGTTAAAGCATATAACGCATGTAATGAGTCTTTGAAATAATCTTCTGTTTGTATTCCCTGAGAATACCTTTTTCGCATACACGCTTAGTCTATAAGGATTTAGGATCGCTTGTCATAATTTCTCCCTTTACAGCCCCAATCCCTCAACGTCACGCTCGCCTGATGAAGATAGTACCTTGTCACTTTTTTTTTTTCTGCAGCTGTGAACCCTAGCTCTTTCCCTAGCCTAGCTAGTCTGCTTTTCGTTTTGGTAAAATTGTTAGCACCTCCTTCTCCTCCTCTACAGCAACTTTAGCAAACCCGGTCCTTCCACTTTGCTTCTACCATGTTTGTTTGCAAGACCGTTTGCGCGAGACGCGATGCTTTATCATGTGGGATTATGCTTTCGAGCTATTAAACTGTTTGAGGCAAATCATACATATTTGAGTCATTACAATTCACATGGCAGGAGAGGGACAGTCACTGAAAACGATGGCTATTCGAAAGCATACAGATTGCGAGCCATCAATTCGTCATTTTCATGTTTGACCAATATGTAATGAGACTGGTTAAAACATGCAAGCGCATTTGCATTTGTTAGTTTGGAACTCGAGAGACTAAGTGATTTCGATAATATTTTGGTTCATCAGATTATGGGTGATATTTAATTTAACGCACAAAAGTTTATTTTCAGATTCACGTCAAAGCATATTTATGTGTTTGATAATACAGTCATATCCGCCCTACCCAGTTACACATATAATCTCTGTTATATCAATAAATGTTTCCTTTTTTGCTCAGCTATATCTCATCTTTACATTCTAATAGCTATCTTCCCAGGCTATTGTTTCTACTACAACCTTATTATGCAAACAATGAAGGATTTTCCACCTTATTTGGCAAGAGCAAACATATCAGCTAGCCTACTCATCAGCTAATATCGTGATGAGTGTGATAAATCACAACCCTAATATAAAGTTACACCAACTGCTGCATTAGTTATTATTTTTCTAAATTAAATAATTCTACCAAACTAAAAGAAAGAATAATTATAATAGAAAGCACAGAAATATCCATCCCTGAACCAGAACAGAATGATTTTGCTTCCAAGTATTTTCAGTGATTCTCTCACCCAAGCTGGCTCAGTTGTGATCACATGCTGGAATGGCTTGCAGCTTCCTAAAGTACAGTCAAAATAAATGCCATTAATTGGTTCCATGAAAAATCACTCATGAGAAGAATTGATAAAACAAGATTTTACTAGATTAAAATCTATTAATCACAGGTTCAGACTGTGCTTGCTTGCAAGAGTTTATAGTTATTTGTCAAGTTAAAAATAATGAGTATCTAGATAAAGAAAAAATCACTTATGAAATTTACCAAGAAGAGCGAAAAATAATAAACCATAAACGAACATT